AACCAGCAGCAGAACTGGAGAGGCTGCCTCAGCTCTGTGCTGAACCACACCCTTCTTATTTCCTCATCGGAGAACAGTAAAGTTAAGAGAAGTTCCTTCAAGTGGTGTCCATCTCACTCCATCCTTCACAGGCAACAAGCTTCAAGGACAGCTCCTCCAGTCCCACCCCTCTCAGTGCACCAAACACACTAGTCTGTCTCTAGAAGGATTTTCCACTAAGGAATTCATCATGTCATATTTGCATCAGGAAGTGAAGAGTCCAGGTACCTGTGCAACTGGGAGACACTTAACATTTCACACTGCTCCAAGAAAGACAGGCTGGAAAGAGCTAGTGGCAAAAGTTGAGGGCACAGGGACAAAAAGAGGTGAGCAGAGTCAGAGGGATGTTTTCTAGCCTCCTACCTTGTGTGAAGAAGTAGACTCTGGTGCCATCACCTCTCACATAGAAGTTATCAGAGAGACATTGACCTAAGGGCAAGAAGGATTTAAACAGTTACCAGCTATCATTTAAAAATCAACAGCTTCCATCCAACTGCACGTAAAGACAAGAGGCACTTCTCCCAGCACACGCTGTGCTTAAGGGGAATTAATGAGCTGTCTCCTGAACAGGGCAGACACTACTCCAGAGAAGCATCATCTCTTAGTGATCTGGCAAGACTCCCCAGGGGAAAAGACAATACCTTTCTTAAACCGAAGCTGGGCCAGATCGTAACGGCCATAATCTCGTAACAAAATCATTCCTCCTGGTTTCAGAAGGCGACTCAGTCTGTTAACAATGCATTGCATCCTGAGGAAAGAACAAACCAGAAGTATTCAGGGGGGTTGGACTAGATGACCTTTGAAGGCCCCTTCCAGCCCTAACCATTCTATGATTCTATGATTCTATTCATCATTCTGCAAAATGATGCTTGTTTCCTTAGCCTACTTTCGAAAAAGAAGGTATAAAGTTTTACATATGTTTCAACTTCATATAAAGTTGCAAAAGCTAGCACTTTTTTGAGCTCTCTCAGACTGAGGTGGGTTGATTTTGTTTGGCTGCCTTATTTCTGACACTCCTTGATCCTGCTTTTTTTTTTTCTATAACCATAACTCAGCCTGCCACAGCAGGGATTAACTGCTCTCTCTTACTAATTACAGAAGTATCTCCACTGGTTTCTGTAAAACAAGAAATAAGTGAACTTGAAAAATGCTGTGAAATAAAACCAAAGGGAACAAGAGAGACTAGCGTAGGTTGTAACACACTGTCACACTAAGATCACAGCACTTTTTTTAACTGTTTCCTGAACCCATCCCCTCCCTTCTTGCCACCTCCCATATGAGAAATTCATCTAACCTTTGAGCCTTAAAATCTAGCAGCATACTTTCCACAAATGGGTGCTAAGCGCTCAGGGTTTAGAACTGGTGAGCAACTGTGTGCGCAGTAAGACGTCACCTATAGCCGCTTCACACTTCCAAACTACACCTATTCTGTACCAGAATTTGTTACAACTGAAAGTACCTGCAAATTTCATTTTCAGAGGCTTAATGGAAAACTGGACCAGACATAGAACAAACTTTAATTTTCCTTGATATGAGGGGATCTCCTATTAAAAACCTCTGGTTCTATATGCATTATCTTCTGCAATCAGAAGGAATTATTAAAACTTACTTCTCTGGGAGAATTGCTGAGAGGACAAAGATAAGAATAACAACGTCGAGACTCTCATCTGGCATTGGGAAAGGACTTTGGTCATTGCACAGGTCATGGACAAACGCAAAGCAGCGAGAGGAATCGTATTCCGCATGGTTCTGTATTTAAGGGGAGAGAAATTAAAGCATTAGCAGCAGACTCTGATCTCAGTATTATCTGGACATGGGAGCATTTTAACTTTCACATAACCAAGTGGTGTGTCCAGAGATCTGTTTCACCCTCACTGGACTAGGCGGATGGGGTCAGATAGGTTCCCTGGTCAGACAAGGAACAGGGGTGAAATGTGAAAAATAAGTACCCATGGGAGATTTACAAAGAGCTTTGGACTTGTTACATTCAGACAATCAGCACTGCCAAAACCCCAAAACTGGATTGAGGGATTATTGCAATTTTAAGGTCAGATTTTCCACTAATAGTGGTAAGAAGTGAGGGATTTACACTGTTAAGACAGTAATCTTTAAAAAAGTGAGAGTGTCAGGGCCCCTCTCTGCATCACTGACATCAATATTCATTTTGACTGCAAGCAGACTATTCCCTATACCCCAAGCATCAAACCTGGTGGCTGCCTAAAGTTAAGCTCTTAAAAATCACATTTAGACTTCTCAAAGAAGTTGTATATTTTTCTAAAGCTGCCGCTACAGATTGTGGTGGCCTCTATAAACAGTGCTTGGTCAGCTTAAGAGGATGAAATGGCATGCTGCCTCTGCTGCTGTGCTCCCCATCTCATCTCATGAAGTGGCTGATTATATTTGATACTTCATGTATTCCCAGTTCTGTTCTGACCTGAAATTTGTTAGCAGTATTTGTCCTTTGACTAAATTCCAGCCTCCTGCTACACAGACAACAGTATCCCTCCTCAGCTGTCTGTGCAGAAGCAATCAGACCACGTTCCCAGAACTGCAGTGACAGTAACGCACACACAAACCAAAACCAGCTTCAGTTCC